TTTTCCGTACACTTCGTAAGCTCTAAGCGATGCGCTCCTGATGTTGATCGGGAGGCTGTATGGCTCTCGGGTTAGATATAGAAAAAGTATTTGATAATGTTTGGACAGACAAACTAATAGAAAAGTTAGCACACTTCGGGTTTCCCTCATATCTAGTAAATCTGATCGACTCATGTCATCAAGAAAGTTGTCTATGAGAATTAACAACAATAATTACGAGAGTTTTGATATGAACGCAGGTTTTCCGCAAGGGTATTCATTATCACCGGTACTTTTTATTCTACTTATATCAGACCTACCAAAATTTGAAAAAACCAATACTGCACTGTATGCCGATGATACCTGTATTTATGCTTCAGTAGATTAATCTGAGGTAGCATGTAGACAGGTAGACAGAGACATTCACATCAACAGAAAAATCATTCCGTTTTTCGAACAAAATAAGGTAACTATAAATGCAGATAAAACCGAAGTTCTAAATTGTACAGTAAATTTTGCAAGACATAAAATCAAAATCTTTAGGCCCCTCACAGTGAAAAACGCAAAAATTCAGGAAAGTAAAACCGCCAGATACCTCGGAATTACGATAGATAAACGATAGACATTTCAATTACCACATCAAGACGATACGTATTAAAGCTAACGGTATGCTGAAGATAATAATAATAATAATAATAATAATAATGAACGTCTTTTATTTGTAGTATTCTTACAGGAGGTGAGATTTAGATTATATATCTATTCTACCATCTAACCCGTTAATATGCCCAACTAGTAAACTGCATACGCCCATCAAGCTACTAATATATAAACAGGTTATAAGGCCTGTGCTCATTTATGGCTGAGAGGTTTACAGTTCAGCATCAAATAAACAAATTAATTTTCTCCAAAGGATAGAAAACAAGTGTTTGAGGATAATTATGAATGCAGCCCGTAGGGACACGAATCATCAGATAAAATAAAATCTTAAGCAACAGGACATTAGATTCAAAACTATTTTACGAGTCATTAAAGCACAAACCGAGAAATTTTACTCCCACACAATAGAGATGTCCACTGATTGCTAATATAACCCAATCACATCTGAATGGTAAAATCAGAAAGCATGGTCTAATTTATCGGTATATTATTTCGGAATATCTTTAATGTAAATATGTACCATAGTTTTAAATATAAATATGTATATATGTGAATATCTCTTTGTTTCAAATTTTTAGTACAGGTTTTGAGTATATTTGCTGTAAATACACTTCTCAACCAAACCCCGGACACAATCTATGAATATTGAACTTTTTTGACTTTTCTTTGTTCTAGTTTGTTTTGTAAGTTTCATTTTATTATTTGGATATGACAATAATAATATAACCCCATACACATGTATATTATAAAATTAGTTAGCTTAACACCAAGCATCTCTGTGGGTCAAATCGGGTGTGCCCCCGATTCCACAGAGAATATTACTATGTTAGTATTAAGCCTAACCCTCATAGTTTATATATAATTTAAGTGCATATTGCTGTATATAATTTTGAAAAATAAATATAAATTGTTGCTAAAAAAAATTGTTATTGTTCCCGTCAGATCACCAGAGATAAGCAGCGTCGGGCGCGGTTAGTACTTGGATGGGGGACTGCTTGGGAACACCGCGATAGCTTTTTGCTAGTGTTTTTTGGATCCTTTATGGACATACTAGGCCTAGATGATAATACCGCTATTGTAATAATTTTGTTTGTAAGTCTTCAACATGGCAGGTATCACCTCATGCCAAGCGGAATATATTTGTGTGGTCCAACTACTAAACAGCACTGTAGGCATCTCTATGGTATCTCTACAAGGTCACCTCTAGTTCAGGAATATACTAGTACTCTTCAAAAATCAGCCCGATCTAAAGAAGTGACACTGCTTTGGATTTCTGGACACATTGGTATACCGGGTAATGAGAGATCACATTACTGCATCGGTCTCGGGCCTAGTATCATAGCGGGCCCGGGGCAAACGTCGGCGTCGGACGCGCCTGGCTAGTAGCTAGTAGATAAACGTATAGGAATCGCTTTCTGGTGGTTCTTATTCTTACTGTCCACCGAAAGTGAGGCGCGTCTGGGGTGACCTCAGGCCCGAGTAGTGCAAGGTAGGAGGAATTAAGTAAAGGAGAATATATATTGGGTTTAAGGTAATTTGTTAGGTTTTTTAAGCGTTTCTGATATTTTTCTCTTTGAGAGCATTGATTTTAATTTGGTTTTGGTTTTTTGAATAACAGTTAATATTGATTGTTTTTTTTTTAGGTTTTCTTTGATTGAGTGGATTAATTTGGTTTATTCTTCCTGCTGAGTTTTCGTTATTTTTATATTTCTGTGTGATGATTGCTTCCGATAGGATGGTCTTTTTGGAAAAAGTGGAACCCCCCAAAAAGGCCAAAAACCAGGACCGAAAGGATGGCGGGGGTTGGTGGGTTCCTTTGGTAATGGTCTCGCTAGAAGCAGTGGGGAAATTTGATGTTAAAACCGTCTACTAGTCTACTAGAGAGCATGCCCACTTGCTCTATGTGCTGGGACGTCAGTGTTCACCTTCTAGGCTTTTTCCTTGTATATCGCAAGGGCTGATATATTTGGAATCGTGGAGTTTTATAGTTAAGTTACATACTCAGTGGAGTGGTTGAACATTCTGATCTTGATCAGATCAGGAATGTTCTATAGAATAGTGGAAAAGCATTGGAGTAGAGGGTTGCTATACACAGGGTCGGCAAAAAGAGACCGAAGGTGAACTAGTGCTATGTCACCTCATATCACACATCACGCTTTTCACATCTATATTTTTCCAAGGAAGGAATGCTTTGCTACTTTTCAAAATACGTATATTGGTGGTTGTCTTATTGACACCTAGACGTTTCTCTATATTGAAAAGATGCGCAGAGAAGCTTGCTCCAGTTCTTTCGCATCCCTTCCAGATATCTTACGACTCCGGCACTTTCCCGCAAAATCTGAATTTTGCACATGTCCAACCCATCCCAAAAAAAGGATATAAGACCCACCCTTACAACTACAGGCCCATAACTGCTTTCTGTTTTACGCAGGTGATGGAGAGGTGCATAAATCGGTAGCTTCTGGAGAACCTCCAACGTCGGCGAGGGTATCACGTAAAAAACCTATAAAACGTCAAAAAAACCTGTAAGATGTCATCTTACATACGTAGTTTTTAGGACGCAAATAGCCATTTCACGTTTGCTCACTAGGATCGTTGTGAACGTCCATCTAAGGAGGAATCACTCAAACTACACGCGTTAGTGGTTGCATATGTTTTGTGAGGCCAAATAGTCCTTGTCTGTAGTTTTTATCTCTGAGAAGAAAGTTGGTTGAATAGCAGGGTCGCATCTGGATGATTATGTGTATTGGTCTGCATGTGTATGAAATCAGAGATATTTGCTGTGTGAGAAAATCTTTACTGAATATGCTGCCTATGAAGTATATCTATTGGCTGTGCCGGACGGGTTATTTTTATGTTGTGCTTTCTGAAGAGAGGTTATGTTCAAAGTTACACATTACGAAAAAGTGAGGAGAATTACGGGAAATCATCACCGCGCCCGCGTTGTGTGTAATTACTGTTAGCATTTATACGGCTTGTAATTCGACAGTGTACAGTGAATATAATTATTTCTTATCTATCTCATTTTTGAAATTCAGCAAATTTGTATATGTAATTTCCTGAATGGATAAGAAAAAGTGGATGCGCAACTAATTTCTAGTTTTGAATCTCAATTAAGTGTATTCGAGACAAAAACCCAATGTAATTATCATCAACAGATACAACTTACAGCTTAGACCTCCAGTAATAACATCTCAGAAGCAGATTTTACATCACATCGGAGCCAAAGATTGATAACAAGCCTCATGACGTTTAGGCAACACGCACAACTAAGTTCTAAGTCAATGGGTGATATGCATAAAGGCGAGTGGCTACTTTTGAATCGCATTTTTAAAGTAGTCACTCCATTTGATATGCATAAAAATGTAAGTAGAAACTCACACTCATAAGTTTCTACTCTTTCCGTGAGGCTGTACTCGCTCCTTGAGTGCCGACTTCAATTTTTATATGCATAAAAGCGAGCGTCCACTCCGACCGCTGAGTACATACTTAAAGAAATGCGAGATACCTCAGTAGTAGACTCAGCTTTATAAGAAGTGGCCGAATTTATGCCTATTTATCAGCCTACGAAGGTGTTTAAAGATCGTAGGGAATCAAGGGAAGTAGACTATCGGGCCTTATATCGGTTTAGTAAAGTTAAAATAAGTAATTTAAATAAGTAACCATTTTCTTGGAGAGACAGAAGAATATAGGGGCGGCTTTGAGCAATATAGAAAGAATGAGGGTTTTTTACGATATATGGGTGATCCAGGATTTCAAATTGGCATAGGAGAAGATATTGGTGCCCATCAATCTACGGTACCGTTACCAACGTTATAACATGCAGTGTGCAGAAGTCGAATATTTGGATTAGATTCCCAACCTCATGTGAAGATCTACACAATGCTAAAAATAAGTGGCAAGGAAAGTTCAATTTTCCTTCAGTTATTGGTGCTATCGACTGCACCCATATACCTATTCTGAAGCCGTTTATTCATGCAGACGAATATGTGAACAGAAAGAACTTTGCTAGTATAAATGTACAAGCAACGTGCAATTCAAACGAAGAGTTCACAAGTGTGGATGTTTCTTGGCCAGGATCTGTACACGACTCTCGGATATGGAAGAATTCTGATATATACAACATTATGAAATGGAATAGGGCTAGTGCTGTTTTGTTGGGAGACTCTGGGTATGGTAGCTCCTTGGCTCATGACTCCTTTTAGGATTTTAGAAACGGCAGAACAAAGATCATACAATCGGCTGTTTACGAGAGAGCGAGTTATAATAGAGAGATGTTTCGTTCAACTAAAACAAAACAGCGTTTTCCCATTCTACATAACAAAATACGCGTCGATACAGAAAAGGTGCCCTCCCTTGTCATGAGTTGTTTTATCTTGCATAATGTGGCTAAGCACCTTAACGATGACGATTTTGCTGTTGATATACCGGGAGATGGCGAACAAGAAGAAATCCATAATGGAGTGATACGTCAGAGAGGTCAATTTAGAAGAGATGCAATGTCAAGAATTATTCATGGCTTTCGGGTCTAAGTAAGTAGCTAGCATGATCCAAATTTAAAAATTATGTAGATATACGTTGAAGAACGATGTTTAATTACTCATGACAAAATTAGTAACATTTTCAAAATGGTAAGTTAAGAGAAAGTCCTTAAAATTAATAAAAAATAACAGTTATGAAACATGAAGTATTTCTGTCAGTTCTGTCCTGGAAATATTCCCATGAAAATTGGATTTCCAGTTTCTGCACTTTCATTTAAAGTTGATAAATTTGGATCAGATTCATTAATATTTTTCTTGTGAAGTAGCAGTTCCTTAGCTAGCCGAAACACTTGTAGTTGTTCAAGTAAAACGAGACGTTGGAGCTCTGTTATTGATAAATCTCGTGTTTCATCGGTTTCCACTAATCCTCGTTTTCCTTTTTTTTAGAAGGCTCCTTACTGGGTCCGGCTTTCATTGTGGTAGCTTTCAGTACTGGTCCTGCACTTCCAGATGCTTCTTCGGTGATTGTTTCTTCTTCAGCACAGGAGTGTAATCAACGCTTTTTTTGTGGGCAACAACAGCACCTAAAATTTAAAATATATGCTATTAATATTTATTGACATGTATATATATTATACTCAATCACATCTTATACCTACTGTATGGAAAAACAAAAAAATACAACTAACATTGCAATCGAGCAATACTAGGATTTGATTCTCCTTGTAGAAAATTGAACAGTTCTTGTTCCCATCCTTTCAATTTTATTGGTTTGTTTCCGGTGTGATTTCTGTCTGTCTTCGCTTTTAATCTGGTTTTTATGTTTTGAATCTTCTTCCAAATCTGCCCTTCATTATATTTAACTCCTAATTCGGCTTCTACCTTTTCTTTTATTTCTTCAACCGCCTTTCGTCGTTTATTTTTGATTTCCGGGATGTTAGATTTTTCCAACAAAACAGGATACTGTTTAATTATATTAACAAATACTGTTTGATTTTCAGATGAATGGTCTTCAGAATAGGTTGACATGTAAATGAGCAAATAATAATCGACCTAAACACCACCGACACAAACGTTTACCGGTATACAGTAGTAGCTGCTCGCAATAGAGAAATTGCCAATTCGGCGAGACAACAAAATACAAGTCGGAACTCGAAAACCAGAGTGCCTACTCAAGTATTTCATTAGAACTTGAGTAGCCTCTTCGTTTCTCGATAAATATTTTATGCATATCAAAACCGAGTAGGCTCACCCTAACAGGAGGAGTTACTCGCTACAATATGGAGTCACTACTTCTGAGAACCCACTCACCTTTATGCATATCACCCAATATCTTGTAGAAAAACCTACATAATGTCAAAAAAAACAGCATATTTTCAAAAAAAATCGGCATAATGTCACTTTTCAAGATACGTGATTAGCGACAGGCGGTAGGGTTTCCGGCACCAGCGAGCGACGGATGACCTCCTAGCTTACGGCACGCAGTAGTGAAGTAAACTCATCCAGACTTATGGTGAGACTCGCGTCTTTGCTCTTGATATCACGAAAGCGTTCGATCAGTTTCTCCTCTTCAACCCACAACGTGAACGCGGGTGTGCCCAGGGATCGGTCTTGGCTCCGACATTGTTCCTCTTAATTACATATCAAGGACGCTCAATCCAATCCACAGGTTCGCTGATGACCGCACTCTAGATACAGGAATTCAAAGTGACAAGTCGATTTCTGCTGGTGAGCTGGAGAAAAGAAGATAAGCAGCGACCTCCTCTCTGGCGAGAGACGTGGAGGTTATCACAGTTTGGGGACGCAACGATCTGGTACAGTTGAATGCTTCCAGAACACGAACAAGAAGCGTCCTAGCGCTCATCCGGTTTTCGTTGGATGGTCGAGTTGTTCTAACCATTATCAGTTCATTTCGGCTAGTCGGAGTCCAGACCAACGAGTCCTTGATCTGGCACGACCACCTCGTCAATAGCGGCAGCTGCTGGGAAAAAGCTATTTCTTTTAGGCCTAAGAAGTACTTTTCTCCACATGACCTCTTAACTCTGACAAGGCCCGAATAAGATCTTTCCTCGAGTACTGCTCACATGTTTGGGGTGCTGCCGCTCCGACCACATTATGAGCTCGATGCTGTTCAAAGGAGGGCTGTTCGAGTGATCGATGACTCTTCTCTAACGTAGTGTCTCTGGACCCTTTCGCACCGTCGGGCTGTTGGCGGTCTAGCTTTTTTCTACAGTTATGTCAACTTGCTTTGCTCCTCAGAGCTCCCCTCGATGATACCGCCGCACGATGTGCCTGTGAAACAGACCCACCCGACTTCGGCCTCCCATCCTGACCGTGTCAAGCTTCATACATCCAGAACTGGGCGATACAACTGCTCCTTTGTCCCTAGGGTATCGAGATTGTGGATGAATCTACATGAGGAGGCTCTTCCCAGTTCTACTAATTTTAAGCAATGCAAAAAGCAGATTAACAAAGTTTCTTTGAACTCCTCATACCAGCCGCGGTGGCCTGGCATTTAGGCTTCTCCCTGCGCGACTGCTTCGGTGTAAACAAATGGCAGCACTTGGAGCAGAAAATTCTGCTAAACGGCTGAATGAGGAAGTCTAATAAAACGCACAAAATACTCTATAAATCTTTATTATTTATGTATATCCGACATCAACTAACTGCATAGATTGTACAAGCGTTAAACAAATAGATTTTCCACGTGTTGTTATACAAATTAACAACCTACACATACCATAATACAAATCTGACATTGTCAATACAAAGTTTCTTCTGAGCCACATCTTCAAAATGGCCACAAAAATCATCTTCTAGAACAACCTCTACACCCATCGTGATATTTGTTAAGGTAACTGTTCAACTCAATTTTACGATATATTGTTATACTCTTATGTTATAATGAAGTCAAGATCTGATTTTATCTTTTAAACAAGTCTTACGAAATACTTTTTGAATATAAGGAAAATTTATCATTTTATAAAGAAAATAAAGTAGCTGTGATATGATACTAAAAAGTCATATGAGAAAATAAATATGTTCAATATTTGTCGAAAATATAAATCTGTAGATTTATAACCAACATATTTGTTATATAATTCAAAATAAGATCCGTTTGTGACATCTATTATAAAACGGTGCAATATATGTGATATCTTTGTACTTATTAACGTGATATTCTAAATCCAAAATTTTCATATTTTGAAAGGTGCAGGTGAAACTACATATCAAAATTGTCCACAACGGTGTTCCAGTCTGGATCAATCCAAATTAAGGTACATTGGATCAAAAACCTAAGCCAGATTTTCAGATCGATAGGGCGACGTTCTTTAAAATCTGTTACTGGCGAAATTTTGCTAAAAAAAATTAAAAAACCACCGATGTTACATAGTCATATCCTAGATAACCGTTTTTTTATACATTTGTGGGACGTATAAGCTCCTGGAAACAATATTTTGAATTTTTTTTTCGAAGTTTTGGTTAGGTATCGGAAATTTTGCAATCTTAAACATACACAATATATCAGTGTTTTCTTTTAAGATCCACTAACAAGGTCGTGATTATTTAGCCGGAAAATCGCCACAAATCGGAAAAAACGCATTTACACCGATCTTCCCCAATTTTAAACAAAAAATGTTAGCAAATCGAGAAAAACCGGTGAAAATGCGTTTATCGCATTTAGGCGATTTTTCTGACACTAAATCTGATTTTGACAACGGAGCTGGAAAGAACGTGAAAATTCAAATACGCTCGTACAGTGGGCTATTGTTTTAGCCTAGTATTCCTTTCCTGACCAAAATCGTTATAAATGATAAAGCGGCTTTTCCTATTTTCGAAATTTTCCGGGACACATTAACACAGCCAACTTACATGCTACGCTTGAAATGTCAAAAATCGGATAAATCGATGAAAATGCGTTTTGGCGAATTTATGGGCAAAATGCATGAATGAATAGTGGGTCTAATAAGAACCGGAGTGGATTCTTAAGTTTGCAAAATTCTCATTTCCTAACCAAGAATTCAAAAGAAAATAAAAAAAAAATTTCTCGACCCTGTAAGTTCCACAAATCTATGAGACATCTAGGTTATGTACGATATAACAAGGTGGCATCAGTGAATTTTTTTTGAATTGTTCGAACAAATTACGCCCATAGAAATTATTTTCAAAAAAAGGTCTTAATTTGGATCCATCCAGATTTAGATACATTTGGGGGCAATTTTCATATTTGGCTCCGCCTATAGCCTAATTATTTTATTATGATTTAATGTGTACACGATAAAAAACGATGATGCAGATACAAAACTATAATAACATAGAGCAAACATATACAAAATTTCCCAAGTCAGTGGTAATTGAACTGTAATCTTATAAAAATTCTAAAATTCTATGTTGTTCTAGACATAGAAATATGTTACAAAATAGCAAACTCCATTACTGACTACCTGACTGAAAATACTTTTAACTGCCACTCTTGCCACTTAGCACAATGTTTCAATGTGTTTGCCTTATATTTTAAAGGTCTGTAAAAAATGGAGTCTACTAAGGAAAGTATCTAATAATTCCGATTGTTTCTGAATGTAACAATTTATATACATTAGTTTATATTATAAATAAAATTGATGGTTCACAAAATCATTGCAATAATGATTAGCAAGACTGGGTCAAATCAGTGTTGAAGTAATCTGCTAAAGTTCATTGCAAACAAATTTTGATTTCATGCTTTCCACAGTATTTGCTCGATGATTTGAATGTTGCAATACATTTTCACATTAAAAGTCGTATAAATAATGCGTAACCATTCTTTTGATACACAACAAATATATTTTGGTTTGCAGCACTGTTTTTTCTGTAAGAGGAAAGGATTTAGTTAATTCATTCACTGAACATCTGTGGAAAGTACAAATTCAAACACATGCACAAACATAAAAAGTTATATGCTTCGAATATTACATATTAAGGGTATAAATGTACAAGTTTTTTCATTCAGTTATTACTACCCGACAAAAAATCTGAGATGTAACTAGGGCTGGGCAAATCAAATTAGATAATTTGATTGATTCATTTGCTTTTTTCAAATTGTCATTGATATGTGCTGGGTCTTCATTATTTAAAACAAAAAAGTCATGTAGATGAAGAACAAATCAAACATACTTTTTCCATAGTACCAAATGACTGAGCATTTGCAAAAGTGAACTTAGGTTTGCAATGCACGATACATTTAAATAATATTCATTAACATTCCAAACTAATGGTCTAGGTTTGATATTATAAAAACATTACTTAAATTATTATATTATAAAGGGTGTCTCTACCAGAGCGCCTGATTTGAATTTGCCGCCATTTTTTTACAAATGGTATTGTGTTTACTTGATGACAGCTGTCATGTACAGACCACGCGATTAGACGTCATGGAGCAGTATTCAAACAAGCAATGTTTAATTATTGTGAAAACTCACTACAAATATAGAGAAAATTACGCGAAAACAGTTCGCAAATTACCTACAATTTTCGGTCGCAATAATGCGCCAAATGAGTCGACAGTTCGCCGTTCAATTACAAAATATGAGACAAAATTGACGTTGCTGAATGTGAAGACCACAGTTCGTCGCTGTCTTGGTCGGTCCCTCGAAAATATAGTCGCAGTGCGGGAAAGTGTGGCCGAGAATCCAGGCACTTCCATTCGGCATCGTGGCCAAGAATTGAACCTTACCAGACCCCCTCTGCAACGAATTTTGACAAAAGATCTGAAATTCCACGAGTACAAGGTTCAATTGACGCAAGAACTCAAGCCAACGGACCATGCGCAGCGCCGTGAATTCGTTGATTGGGCGCTGGAGCACCACTAAATTGATGCGGATTTCTTGAAGAAAATCATTTTCGCTGATGAGGCACATTTTCAACTGAACGGGTACGTCAATAATCAGAACTGCCGAATTTGGGGTTCTGAAAACCTTCGTGTAATAATCGAACAACAAATGCAGTCGCCGCGAGTTACCGTTAATATAAATACTCGGTTAATTCGAAATGAAATTGTGTTTTTCTTGAAAATTAAATCAGGCGCTCTTAATGAGACACCCTTTATTATTAAATTATTTAATTTGTAATTTATCTGCGATATCAGCATCTCCACGCGATTTCGTCTAAAAGTTTCTGGATTCACGTCTTTTAAATGCGCCTGATGTACAGGAGAAATTAATTATTGTACGCATACTTGTTTTGAACTTTCAACTGCAGAACGATATTTTACTAACATATGAAGCAGTTATTGTTTACTTTTGAATTTACTGAAATTCCTACCCAGCCCTAACTTCACATCATATTTATTCACTGACAAGAACGTTTACGAAGGAAAGATTTTTTGTAAATATTTCTTCTTAAAAATTACCAGCGAGTTTTGTAGTTCCTATTTTATGGAGTATACACTCCATAATAAATGACTAGTGTATTATTTTCCATATAAATAAAAAAGTCAAAGCAAAAAATAATAGATGTTCGAATGGACAAAATCACGCTCAGCATCAAAAAAGTGGTTTTGACCTGGCGCGCCTCGCCAAAACAGTAGCTGATGAACATACAATATTTACAGCTATCTCACTTCAAGTATGAACTTAAAGAAATCATACTTATTCTTCACCCAATAAATAGTAGTACCAGACCAGCAAAGTACTTTTTCAAAATACTGCATCCAGTCACAAGAAAACTAAAACAAAACATCGATAACTTTGTACATAAATTTTTATATACAATATATACAAAACAAAACAAATAAAAGTCCAAAATGGAAAGATTTAATCTCGAGCCCTCTTAGCTCCGAAACAAGACGCTACAGGTTCTTTGCTCTTAGCGTTATGATGTTGTATTGGTATATACACTTTTCCTTGACAACTCTACCTCTACATAATATATTTTTTTATATTTCGACACAGCCTTCTCGTTTCATCATCTCCACAACTCCATGGCAACCGTTGTTTTGCAACAACCCTCATCTAGGACGTGTGGGTAACAGTCGTTCCGAGGTGCAGTCGATGCACAAATTTTATTCAGTACCACCGGTGCTTCTCCAGTAGTGGTTCTAGGACTCTCGCTCTTTCTTCACTTTGTAATCCTCGCCCAGAATCGTGGCTATCTCGCCCTGCATGAAAGCCCAAGGGACGTTCGAGTTGGCCAGAGGGCATTTCTCTCCGCTTGGACAGTATACCTATAACCAAAGAAAGCTATAATCAGTAAAAGATGACGTAAATTATGAAATGCAGAACGGTTTTCATCGAATATTGATGATATTGGAGGCGTTACATAACTAAGAGAGAAATTGGTCTTAGAAAAGTAAACTTGCTAATTGTTAATGCATAACGAAAGATGTCAGGTTAATCAAGTCAGTACTTCCACCTCGCCTATATACACGGTATTAAGTAGTTGGCTAAATTTCGAAGGGAGAATTCTGAAGAAAAACAGTTCATACAAACATAGATCCAAGAATATTCCGTTACCGAAATACATACAGTACGCTGCTAACGAGCCCAATTCAGGACAAAACATGGATATTCAGAAAATAATGCAAACTTCGCTAAATCCAGCAGTTTTACAATGAGGAACGAATTTAACTTCTTATATAAATTTTCAAGATTTTTTCGATAAGATAGGATCTGACAAAAATTTCTCAAGAATAAAACTCTTGTTGTCTCTTCTTTGACCATCTATTGAGACCCTGTATATAGAGCAAATACATATATAAAGTATGCAAGATCAAAGACCAAAATATAATTTCAGAAAATTATAAAACCTTAACCATTCTGTGATAAACCATACATTATAGTTATCAAAAGAAGTTGAGTTTTAGTTTTATTGAAACATTGTACCTCCTAAAAACTACACCCGACAGCAACAATTTTACAGCGAAATCAAATATGAATTGGAAATTTGTGGCAACGAAAATGTTTTGTTGATTACACTGCTTTCTTTCCATATCGCTAATGATCATATTGATCAGAAACTCTGTACTGCTCTAAATGAGATCTGTCACTTGAAAACCACTTACAATGTTTGACAGATGATGTGCCTTGAAAAAACCAAAAGCTTTAAATTGGATGGAAAAATACGAAAATACATAGTTCGGGAATATTTTTTCTGCCTTCGGCATCATTTTGCGAGTTCTAGAAAACATCAGCACTACCCATAATATCCCCATAGCACATCGCTCTCCAAATCCCATCAACATCAATACTACGGTTACCGCGGCACCGCGCAGATAAGAAAGAAAAGGAAAAACCGCAAAAAAGGCACTAGTGTCTCCAGTGTTGCCGAACCTACCGATTTTTCGGTACTTATACCTATTTACCACGATTTTTTAAAATATTTCAGATATTTCCAGATCTTGTACCGAAAAAGATATGGAACCGAAAATAAGGCTAAAAAAGGTAGTATACGTAGTTTTATACCCCATACCAGTCGGACACACGAGAGACGTAGACCTGGATTGCCTACAATTATGTACATACATCCCTTAATCGGCTTTCACTATATTGTCTTTTTGTGTACAAACGTCATTATCGCATCACAGGACAGCGATAAGGAAACCAAAGTTCGATAAGGCTTCAAGTTCAGGGGTGAAACAGAAAAATATTCAGAAACTTAAAACCAAAAGTGGCAAAAATAGTTTCAATGATGGTTGCAAAGGGTTTTGAAGAGCGACCAGTATGCTCATTGTACAAGTGATAATGAAGAACTTTCAGGAACAAATGCCCTGATCTTGTGACGGCCCTGATTTTTTTCCTTCTACCGATTTTCACATTGAATCTACCGAATTTCGACGACACTGTCTTTTTCGGTTCCGCAACACTGGGTGTACTCGAGCCTTAAACTCTGTAGCAGTTGATTCAATTTTGACAGTTTTCTTACCTCTGATCCAGCCCCCTGCCTCTTGATGCTCTCCCTGCTGCACGGGAAGCAGAATTTGTGGTGGGGCACGGAGGGGCACTGCACGAAATGCGTGTCCTCCAGCCTCTCCTGGCACAGAGTGCACTTCAATGTGGCTGCAGCCGCTGCGGCCGCGGCTTGAGCGGCAGATTGGGGCGTATCCGGTCCTGCGTTAGCCCCGCCTCCTGGAAGCGAGTCTCCGCCTCCCGAAGGCAGACCAGCTTCTGATGAGGTGGTGACGGTGGTGGAAGAGACGTGACGGGAGCCTGACGAGCGGCGGCCGCTCGATGAGCCTGAAAAAATTACAAGGTAGATCGTGAGATTATTTCTTGGTGTATTTGAACAAAAGAGCTCTTCTGCAGTGGGATATTCAACTGTTCCTATTCACCGAAGAAAAATAAAACAACTTTAGTATTTTAATCGCGAAAATGAGCTATTATGTTTTTTGAATGTTTATCAATCACGAAAAAACATCTCTTATTTCAGACGGTGGGTATGTCTGTCTTGTCCGCCAATTGTTTTATGACACAGGTTGATTTCTCCAATCTGCACATATAATTTTTTCTCGTCTTCCGAATAATAACTATGTATCTCGGTAAGAGGCATTTCAAGAGTCATAAGTATACAAATTTTACGTGTTCTTTTTCGATCCAGATTATGCTCTAACAATATCACTGTTTATTTTTTTATAAAAAATCTCTCCTTTAGAAAGTTTTCAATCACTTCGATGATGTGTGAGGGAGGGGCGATTGTGAAGGCTGAACCAAACTAAAAGTAAATTCATAAGAGTTTATCAAGAAAAAACGTGCCCATACGGCAGCGATCTCGTCTCGAAATGTTCGTCATAGATCTGAGCAAAACTTGATCTTATAAAAGCAACTTCAAAAAATATTCACCTGTCGAATTCGGCGAATGCTGACTGCCTCTGCTAGCCGACCGCTGTTGTCCTTGCGCCTGCTGTTGAGCTGCGCCCAGAACATTCGCGCCGGTGACCGCCCCCGCGGGCGGACTGCCTTGCGCGGACCTTGGGCTGCCGGGGGGCAATTGGTCGGCCACCGACATCAGGGCGGCCATTGGGCTTTGCCCGCCTCCACCTCCACCGCCTGGGCCCGTTCCGGTCCCGCCCCCGGCTGAGACGACGTCGGGTGGGCTGCACGTTCTGCCCGCCCCGCTTAGGGGAGAGCCCGATGGTGCGACGCTGCCGGACACTGATGAGGGAGCTAAAACAAAAGTGAATAGGTTAGACTATGTTGTCATTTTTACAAACCCTATTAGATGTGCATTCAGTAAGTGTTAACAGTGCAAGTGAACATTTGCAAGTTACCCGATAGCGGTGAGGGTGCTGAAACAAATGGTACGTTTAGGCTATTGCTACTTTGAGAAATTGAAAATTGTTAGAGAATGTGTTGCATGCAGTTGGTGTTGAATCGCTGGAAGTTATAATTCTGCCTTTCTATGTCCGACCAAAGAGGGCGCACCGTGTATAGCGCTGTTCCATGCTTATTTGCAATCATCAGTATGGAATGGGCAGGTATCTAGGTAGGGCATCGGATGAAAGCAGAGTAAAATAATCGTCTATCAGAGGGATAAGGTCTATCAAAATATGACAGCACTGGTTGCTGACAAAATCAATAACAACCCTGCAGGATACCATTTCACCAAGGCTGACAGTCTAGAATCTAGACAGTCAAGATGTCATATCATTCCAAACCTTGATAACCGGATTTTGAGACTCAGTGGATGATCAAGTAATTTCTTTAGAATCTTGGAAGGTTAGAGATCATCAATGATCATGAAAATGAACTGGACCACCGGTGTTGAAACTGGAAAACTTAGTTGTTTGCAGAAGAATATATGTATTTGTATGTACTGCGGTAAATCACTGCCTTTGGAGATCCAGATATTTGAATTATAAACCAAGATTAAAAGAAATGCGGTGAAGTTAGTAGTACCGCAGAGGCAAAACAGAAAGATATTCATTTTCTATCCTAAATCAGTGTCAAAAAGTGGATATATATATCAGAATCTTTTATAGGAACTTTTTGTATTCGATAGTTTCTGAATTATAATTATTGCCAATGCTTTCGACTTCTCCCGAACGTACATCTGAGATTAAGCTGCAACTATATATGCACATATGGTTAACCTGTATAGTTAAGGAACCTTCGTTTAAAAATACCAAATGTAAATTCTCCATTGTGGACTTTAGCTCTGTTTATAGCTATCCAATTATTTATGTATACACAATCACATATCAAGCTTATCAACAATGTAGGATAACAATAGTGATAAGACGGAATTCGCACGTGAACAGAGTATGCTGATCGGTGATGCGAATGTCGTTTGTTACAAAATAGCAGATTTGACCGGGTTTGTTCGATAATACGCTGCTACGTATTTTGCTCCATATGATAACAGAATCCTTATTGAGAGTAACTGAAAATCACGAAGTTTTTTCATACTTCGTACCACGACGAAAGCCTATACAGATACATATATATATTCTTCTTGGGTACCTTGGGGCTATAGGGAAAACCACCTACCACCTCTAGTAGTTTGACCAAGAAGTTGACTACGTTAAAAAAATAAATTTTCTAGCTCTGCGTCGTATACGATCGACGGTTTCATATCAATGGCAAGGTCAAACCAAATTTGCATCTCCCCTTACCCTATACGAAACGTCGATAACCTCCAAAGTGCAATTTGGTCACTGGGTCATAATACCTTTAACCAACCCTAAGCTCTATTGATTTTTCGTGTGGCACATTCACCATAATAAGTGAAACGATACCTCCACCATTTTTGTACAAGTAGAAATATGTTGCAATACTATGATCGATAAGGAATGTACTGAGTGTTTTTTTTTCTAACATACTATATAATATTTTCGAGATTTGAATATAATATATATCCCCGAAATCGGTTGGTTTTTGACATACAGGTAGATACAAGAAAATTGAAAATAAATACAAGAAAATTGAAAATCCATAATATGTAAATACATATATGGACCTATCTAAATCAAAAAGTGAGCAAGTATCAGGATTATTGAATTGAGAAAAGAGAAAAATACAAATATACATTTTCATTAAGTGGATCAATGTTTTTTTGAGGTTTTTGCATTGGATACGAAATGCAATTAAAACTTTGTCTGGTGTTATATTTTTCAGCATTTTCCAAACCGAGTTTGATAAAATACTTTACTGCGTCTCTAGTTTCACGTTTCAACTGATAATTTCTAATTGGAGGACTTTGCGTTCCATTAAGAAAATTTTTACAACTTAGAGGAAACAGAGATTTAGTTATTTTTGAATTTGATAGGATCACTCGCTGTGTACCGATCTTTGATTAACTTTCGTTTTCTTTTCCTTGCTTCACAGATACCGTACCAAATGTAGATGACTGAAAAGGAATGTCCCAACTTTCTGAATTTTTGATATGTGGATGTTCACATAAAATTCGTTTTTGAAAACGTATTGTGGCCAACGTGTTCACGTCGGATTTTTCGATTCTGTACAGGGTGTCCAGCTATAAATTCCCCCTTCTTACTTTAAATGACCTTCTAATATGAAGTGTTCATGCTATCTTCTTTGTATTCCTGGTATCTCAGAAAAGTGCTATTGAACAAAGTATATTTTCAGTCAAAATGATAGTATATTTTTTTGCCTATATTTCAAATATATATGGTTTAACTTATTTTTATTACTTTAGTCAAAAACTTAGTAGTTTGTGTGTCTTATAATATGTACCCCGGCCCTATACCAAATTGCATAGGCGGCTAGATGCAAACCAAATGCAAACTGGTTCGAACTCTACCTGTATATAAAACTTATTTTCTGGAAGATAAAAAGCTAGGTGGGGGATCAATTTATACGCTGACACCCCACGTATACAAAAAGAATAGCCGATAGCACCGATATGTCGGCTTCTGAAATATCGGTATCCGCAAAATCCTGTATCGCTCGATTTCAAGTTTCGCCTAGTATTTGGAATGTTCGAACTATGAATCGGAGCATCAAAGGCGTTGTTTTCCGGTCTCGCATCACCTCCAACCAAAACCGTTTTCTACGTCGCCGCGTCGCGAGTCTGGTTCACGTAACGTGCGTATGTCACGTGGCCCGTTTTCCTGGTCGGCGCGCTCGTGACGTCACAGCGCCGTTCGATAACGAACGTCGTTCGGTCGCGCTCGGCTCGTTCCGCCATCTCGGAATCCCGTCGACGCCAACGCCGACTTTGTTTTTTCGACAACACTGCACGATCCAGTCACGTATTTTTAACGCAACGATGCCTGACACCGAAGCGCAGTGGGGCCCCACGATCCGCCATGCCGGACGGAAACAACACGCGTGTCGTCACGAAGCAAAGGTTGCCAAGTTTACGGCAACATCCGCTAATGGCAAGGTTGCCAGAATGCGTTGATGCGAATCGTTGGGAGTAGGTCAAAAATTAAAAACCATAAATTTTGGATAGACATTTAGACTGTCAAGATACGGTGGCAGAATTTTTCACATTCATGTTAAACATCAGACATGGTAGTCCTACTATAGCCAAATTTAAAATGTACAGTTTTGCTTCCGGTAAGCGCTAGCGTGGTTGGAGATCAAACTGACAAATTTAATGGGAAGGCAGATTTGAGAAATTACGGCAAGGTTCGCAGGTTATTTAAGGTTATCCTGGGGTACCAAAACGGAAAAGACGACCTACCACCATTAACACATATTTATTCAGAATGATGCTCTTTACTTGGTTCACAGACTAACTTAAGGCCAATCACCGATCAGTCAGCAGCACGGAAAATACCATCAAAAACTATACACGGAGTTGAAGGCAGATCCAATATTGGTAACGCCCACAGACACAAATGTCCCAAAGTACAATTTCGACAAAAACTATCAAACAATAGTACCAGAAAGGAAGCTGTGGGAGAACAGATCATACATGTCAAAAGCTACTGGTGCATAGATGGTTCGAAAACTAAAGACGGAGCTAGTGCCGACATTTATGGGCCACGGCTAAAAGCCGAGATCTCTATAAGTACAGGTAATATAGCAAAAGTATTTCAGGCTGAAGTAACAGACTGAACACTCCCAAACTGAAACAAGGTAACATTGCTCTGGATACCAGGACATGCAGAGTACAAAGGAAATTAAAAGACGAATGAGCTAGCCAGACGGGGTGCAGCCAATCGCCATATAGGTACAGCGCCTTACTGTGGCGTGACGAGAACACGCATTAAGTTGTCCATAAGAAATTGGATCAAAAAAAGTCCATAGAATGGTGGAACAGCCCATTAAAGCAAAGGCAGGCAGAAGAGTTCATCGAAGAACGAAGTCCCACATTTACAGAGGACCTACACAGATGAGGCTCTTGAGTCTGGCAGAAGAGGCCACATGCCACTTCTGCAGAGAGCATGAGGAAACCCAGTGCATCTCCTGTGTCACTGAGAAGGCCTGGCAAGGCTACGGTTTCAGATAGTAGGAATCACAAATCCAACATCGGAAAGCTACATGCTAAGCCCTGTGTCAAAGCTATCGACTCTGACTAAAGGATCAACGCTGGAGACAGTTCTTTAGGAAGTTTGAATGGGGGTCACAATAGATCCATTTGAGTCACAGTGGCGTTAAGGCACAAACCCCTTTTTGTAATCTGTAACGTGTAACAATGGCGTCCAATGTTTTTTGCTATTCTCTTCCGTGTCGATACAAAACTATAGTAAAACTTTGAATATCAAACTGACAATTCTCTTTTTTCTTCTCAAATATCCTGCTAACCTCAGCTTAAGCCATTTATAACCTCAGACATGACCCGTTAACCTATAGTCTGGTACCGAAACGGAAAAAAGTAGAAGAACACTCCGTACGCCACTGTTTTTGTACCCGAGTATCTACTTTCAGTTATCCAGATTACCCCCATTACTGTTATCGTTGTGCTTACGAATTTTCGTATATTTGACAGTTTGAGAACTAAATAGCGAAGACCTCCAATTGCAAATTCTCGATAATCAATTTACGACTGAATGTAAAATTGCGCTTTTCTCATATTTTAAGTGCACATATTAGAATAATAATTCAAGTTGAAATGTTGGAAGTGCATAGGTGAAACATATAAAAAATTCAGAGTGACTCATATACACTATACAAACAATAACTTAACAACAAATAATTTGTTTGCATTTTGCATCGCGCGTGACTGATATTATTCACAATTAATTGTTTTCATCGCATCCGTTCCTCACACGTTTGCTTGCCTGGTGAGGTGGCAGCATCGTTCAATGTCAACAAGGTCAAGCACGTCAATCTGTTCCGTTGTATGTTGCCAAATCCAATCAAAATTAATTCAAGTGGAAGTATTTTTTTAACGGAGCTACAGGAGTTTAGAGCTAGAAACCCGACAGGCTGCTAACTCCCATCGCAAAAACGGGCGTTTCCCTACAAGCCTAGACACAGTAGAAGCATATGCCTGCGTAAGTTGAATGTAAAGTTCATTGAGAACTTGGAATGACCCACAAATGCAATACAATACAAATAAGTTTATTCACGTAAAATAATTTGCATGGTATTCACCGGGAGCTAAGTGCTTAGTAGGGCGGACTGAATCGCGCTCGCAAAAAGAGGAACATCGTCGAACTGATTGATAGTATTGGAATATAAGGGTGGTCTCTATGGTGAAATCGGCGTTACATGGGGTCAACTGAGGCCTAGCAAAGGTGCAAATATTTCGGCGTCAAATTGAAATACTAATGATCTTAACAGCAAATCGACTAAATGTCGTGTTATTTTCGATAATGTCCATTTATTTTTATATTGCACGCATCGAACACAAATATTTCATCGCGCATCCAACAAATAATACGTCTTATGACTGACCGACAATATTAAGTGAAACTGATCACTAATTCACTAACGTTGTAACTAGAAAAACTCATCTGACAACATTGCTCCTAGCGCATATCTTGCATGTGAATATAAAAATATATTATAAAATGAAACGTTCCACGAAAAGTTATATAAACTTTACCAAACATACAAGGTACTAAAATTTATGAGATCGTTAAAAATTACAGCGAATTTCACCCACCCTGAGTAAGGCGAATTTTGAATAGGTGATTTTTCCTTTGTTTAATCATGAACAAATGCCTTATCACTGCACAAACCGTATGAGTTCGATAAAACTGAATGTCTATGTATAAAACTTTTTACGACTCCTTTTGATAAAAATAGAGTCAACTAGTTTGGCTTCTAACGTCATCGGTACCCTTTGAGCTAGATACAAATATGTATAACAAAAAAATAAACGGGCCAAGTCAGCCAATCAGGCCCATACACAATTCGTACAAACTCCATAGTCCCCATCCATCGACCATCTGGCAGCACTGCTAGACCACACCTGTCAAAAACGTCTTAAACGCAAGCCACGATAATATAACAACCCTGCCGGCGATGATGTCAGGCGCAAGGCAGGGTTCAACGTATGAAAGGCGCCGTTGCATCTCATCGTCCCGACCGACAGCATGTCTCGTCTATAAATATTAGCAAATATACGGGGAAGTATTTCATCAGATATACCTTCCCCTACCCCCTACAACCTCCAACCCCCAATTTTCTCACCCCTACAAAAATTCTTCTGAAAATGATCAGCGGCTAATAAAACGCCAAAAAGTGTATTTTTTATCGTGTTTCTGCTCCTAGCTCCACCGCAACTATACCGATTTTCAAAAATTAATACAAAGCTATTTCATCAATGACACAGTAGTGACCTTGTATCAAAATTCCATCCCAATCCGAGCAATACTTTCCAAGTTATAGACGGTCCAAGGATAACAGACCGACTATGAGTGATATGGTTTTTCGTGATGT